TATCATAAACAAGCACATGTGCTTCAGAAATACTATAATAATAATAATAATAATAATAATAATAATAATAATAATTACAATTAATAATTATTTGAAACCAAAGTTTGATTTCGAGTCAAAAATGTTATCATTAAACAAGTACTTCTAAATATAATAATAAAAATTAATAATTAATCATTTGAAACCAAAGTTTAAAAATTTATATATATTTTTAAAGTTTTGTCATTAAACAAGTAATTTAGAATGTTTAAAAAAAAAACAATAATCATAATTAATAATAATAATAATTTGAAACCAAAGTTTGGTTTTGAGTATAAAATAATTTTTTTAAAGAGTTTTGCTATTAAACAAGCACTTTAGAATGTTTAAATAAATAAATAATAATAATGAATAATAACAATAATAAGAAGAACAACAACAACAATTATTATTATTATTATTCCTACTACTACTACTATGACTACTACTAATAATAATCATTATTATTATTATTAATCATAATACTAATTACAATAATAATCTGTATTATAATAGTTTATGGAGTATTTCCGCTGGCAGTCGTCTGCAGATGAGAGGAAGCTCGAGCGCAGCTTGATCTGACGCAGACACAATAAGAGCGAGCGCTTTAACGCCAGGAGCACTGCCAGAGCACTGGACACGAGACGGACGACGCGTTCACACACAGCAGGTGAGCACGAGATTCGTGTTTGTTCACTTCATCACGAAGCTGAGCAGTCAGTGTCTGCATGCATTAACGCATATGACTCGCGTATGCAAAGACATTCTGCGATTTTAGGAATTACGCAGCATATTCTGACAGTGATGACAGTCCAGAAATCAGAACACATGCATGTATTCTATAAACACGCCTGCAGTAATGCTTGTTTTATAGGATGCATGCAGAGCAATAATGATGAATCAACCAACATAACTGCATGATAGAGAAGGGCGCATTGTCTCTGTGCTATTTTTAGACACTGGCAGTGAATTGCTGTAGTGTGTGTGTCAAGTTACTGCTGCAGAACTGAACGAGTAATGTAGACTATTACAGAATGGATGGAGAAACCACATAACATATATCATCATGAATATATTCATTCAATTCTAGAGATATATTCATCTTGTTGTTGTTGTTGTTGTATAGCCAATACTGTTCATTTTAAGTGTGCTATAATATAATAATATAATTTTATTTCTGTTCCTTTGTAAATTCTATTCTTTATATAAAAGCAGCATCTTTATTTATTTTCATGGTGATAAATTATACATGTCAAGCAACTCTTAAAGAATTAGTTCACGCCAAAATGAATCAGGATGAGTTTGTTTCTTCATCAGATTTGTAGAAATGTAGCATTGCATCAGTGTCTCACTGCAAGTGAATGGGTGCCGTCAGAATGAGAGTCCAAACAGCTGATAAAAACATCACAATAATCCACAAGTAATCCACAGCACTCCAGTCCATCAGTTAACATCTGGAGAAGACAAAAGCTGAAACAAATCCATCATTGAGACGTTTTTAACTCAAATATGAGTCCATAATCCATAATAACGCAAACTCTCATTCTGACAGCACCCATTCACTTGCAGTGAGACACTGATGCAATGCTACATTTCTCCAAACCTGATGAAGAAACAAACGCACGATGGCCTAAGGGTGTCACTACGAATATCCAGCGACTACTAAATTGTCCCTAGCAATAACTTTGATCAAACGACTAAATATATGTGTATAAGCACTGTTGTTGTAATTTCGGTTGCATCTGAAATAGGTCGCACCATTGATATTACATGAGAGGTTAAAGAAATATGCTAGAAAACTGCACACATGGATGGATGCGCTTTATTGCACTTCTTTTAGACGGTTGAACAGAAACACCCATCCACTGCCATTCTAAAGCTGGGAAGAGCCAGGACGTTTTTTAATAAAACTCCGATTGATTCGTCTGAAAGAAGAAAGCCATATACACCTAGGATGCCTTGAGCGTGAGTAAAACATGGGGTAATTTTGGGGTGAACTAACCCTTTAGGAGCAGGTTTCGATCCATGCTCTGAAGTCACGATCTGAAATGATGGCTCGCGAATCATTATCCAGATTGTGTATCGTGAATCGTTTGATTCAGATGGGGACTTCGAAACAGGTTCGCAAATCTTTTTTTCTTCTTCATTAAACAGTACAAAAACCATTAAGGCAGTACAGTTATAAAAAAAAAAATAAAAAAAAGAAAGAAAGTATTCACAAATACAAATTCCTTAAGAAAATTAACCATGGTTTTATTATAGTAAAAGTGTAGTAACAATGTTTTTTTTTTTTTGTATAACCACAGTTTTACTACAAATACCATGGTTAAACTATAGTAACCATGTTTTTTTCTTGTCTGTTCTTTTCTTTCTTTCTTTTTTTGAGTAAAACCATTGTTAATTTTCACAAGGGATGTAGTGCCAGGTTATCCCCCCAAAAAAGTAATAAACTAATGAGTTTATGGTCACCGAATATGTTTTTCTGAGGTAAATGTGACGTTACGTGACATTGTTTACAAGCCGTTATATTGACGTCTTTGCGCGGCTGAAACACTGATTGAGCGATTACATGAGACAGGATACAGATTGTAAAGTTGTACTCTTTCTTTGAACTTACCTTCGGATGTTTAGTCATGTTTATTTTGTGCTATAACTAGTAATAAAGCGGAGGAGATGATCAGTTCACTGAGGCGCTACAGCGATCACTCCACATTAAACAGCGCCTAAACGGCTTTTATTGTTTAAATACTGCAATACAACGGACAGAATTTGAAATCTGAGACTTTGTTTCATATTAAAAGTACCAAAGCACAATGATTATTGCGATTATATTGGATGGGAGGTGCGCTTCAATGTTCGTCCATTAACTGAAAACAGGCTAGAATAATCGATTCTTGGGATTTAAGAATCAATATCGTTCCGTAAAAATGAGAATCGATTAATATCGAGATATCTATATTTTTTACCCAGCCCTAATTATAATCACGTCCAGAAGCTTTTTGTGAAATTTGGAGAAACTCATGAATGTTGTTTTAGCTCTTCATATTTAAGGAGAGAACTATAGTTTCCAAAGTTGGTCATCATCGCTTGTTATGATTTTCAAGTGTGTAGAGTTTAGTAGAGACGCTACATGATCCCACTAATATCACACACTACTGAATTATCCCCAGCAATAATTTTGATCAAACAATGAAATGTCTGTTGTCTGCCGTTATGTCCCCAGCAGCGCCAAAATCAATCCTAGTGTTTGTTAAAGCACCTAGTGATGTTAATAAAGACGTCTAAGAATGTCTAAAGCAATGCATGCCCCTCGTGCTCATAATATGAAAATATAAACTACACAAAACGAGCAAAAATATCTGCCAGTGGGGCAAGAAAAATAATCTTGTTTAGCTTTGAATTAAGATTATTTTTCTTACTCCATTGGCAGATATTTTTGTTTGTTTTAAGCAAAAACGAAAAAAAATTTGATAATGTTTTTAGAAAACAAGACTTAATATCTTAAATCATTTCACTTGTACAGTAAATGCATCTTGATTCAAGAATGTTTAGATATTTATACTAGAAAACAAGACAACAATACTAAGTAAGAGAATGATTTTTTGCAGTGTATTATGAAGAGCAAAATGTTGAATTGGGATTTTATCTTCTTCAGGAAGTGTGCATTGGTGTTTCTGATCTGCTCACGTTTTGCTTGGGTTTTGAGTCTGTTGGATTCATGCGACGGATCCACAATGTTCAGCGATGCAGCTTTCCAGAGTCTCCTGCTGGCAGCGATCTGTCTCGTCAGCCGGGCCGTCCCACATGAGAGACATGGAGAAGATAAAGCCTCTCAGGTCTCTCTGACGCCTCCTGCTGGAGATCTGCTTCAGATCAACTCTTCTGAGGAGGACAGAAGACTGACTCCTGCAGCTGGATCCGGACCGAGCTTCAGCTCCAGACTGCTGGATGCCACGGACACCTGGACAGAAGCAGATCGTCTGAGGACAGGCGAGTCAATGATGCAAAAAATTATGTCTTCATATAAATATCTAAACATTCTTGAATCAAGATGCATTTACTGTGCAAGTAAAATGATTTAAGATATGTGACCCTGGAGCACAAATCCAGTCATAAGGGTCGAAATTGAAATGTGTACATAATACATAAATAATCTTTCCATTGATGTATGGTTTGTTAGGATAGGACAATATTTGAAAATCTGGAATCTGAGGGTGCAAAAAAATCTAATATTGAGAAAATCATCTTTAAAGTTGTCCAAATTAAGTTCTTAGCGATGCATATTACTAATCAAACATTAAGTTTTGATATATTTACGGTAGGAAATTTACAAAATATCTTCATGAAACATGATCTTTACTTAATATCCTAATGATTTTTGGCATAAAAGAAAAATGTATAATTTTGACCCATACAATGTATTGTTGGCTATTGCTACAAATATACCCCAGCGACTTAACACTGCTTTTGTGCTGCAGGGTCACAAATTAAGTCTTGTTTTCAAAAATAAAATAAAATTACCAAAATTTTGTTAGTTTTTGCTTAAAACAAGTGAAAATATCTGCCATATAAAAATGAGAAATCTTGTCCTAGCCTAAAGTTTTTTATTTTATCTCATGTAATCAAAATGTGCTTTAATGGTTATAGTTTCAGTTTTACATTAACTATAATAACCCTGATTTAAAACTATAAGAGTATATCAATAATACTAAATTAGCACAGATGCAGATTTGATATCTTGAGCAAATCTGAGTTTAGTTTGAGATCTCGTCTGAAAGGCTTTCTGGGAATCTGAGAAGGATATGTTTTCATTTGTGAGTTTTCTTTCCAATGCGTGTGAATAAAACTCTGTCAGACTGTTTCAATAACAGTGTTAATGTTGCAGAACTCATCGGTTATGATCCAGATTGAGTCAACATGAAATCCGAACTTGTCAAATATCAGTTCAGTCATTGTTTATGCTGCTGTTGAAACTGATGCAGTGTTTATAAAGCATTAATGCATCAATAGTCATGGAAATGACAGAAAATGCAGACTTCTTCTCAAAGTGGGAATGCTATGATGCATGAAATAGAGCTTGAGTAACTAGCATCATCTGTTTTGGTCCATTTAGTTCACTTAACAAAACAGGTAGCAATCATTTTTGACTGAACTGCATATATAGTTCTTGTATGCGAGTTATATATCAGTTCCTTTTCCTTCCTTTTATTTCAGCTAGCTGCCAAATAAAACTAAAAATTAATAATAAAAAAATACAGACATACCAAAAAAACAACAACAAAAAAACACATCAAAATGACTAAAACTTGATCTATTACTAGGAATAAAATAAACATTAAAATTAAAATAAAATATAAAATATATATAATTTCAGTTAGTTGCCTAGACAATATTTATCATTTTTTTATTAAGTTTAACTTGATGTACTAAAATAAATAAAAATGAAATAAAAACTATATAGACATAATACAAATGACAAAAACACACATAAAATAAGTAAAAGCTATTTAACTGTTACTAGTAATAAAATAAACTTCAACTGAAATCAAATAAAATATTTCAACATTATTTAATTTAAAACTAAATTATATAAAAAAAAGTTTCAGTTACGGTTATCTTCAAATACAATATTTCTCATGTTCATTTAGTTTAACTTGATGTACTAAAACAACTAAAACTTAAGCTAAACTATAGACAGTTAAAGAAAAAAACTAATAAAAATCACAAAATGTCACAAAAAAATACTAAAACTTAAAAAAATGTATATGAAAAAAAAATGTAATTTAAAATATAAATGAAACCTATAGTAAGACTGCAGGGGGTTTCTGAGAATCTGAGAAGTGATTCCGATATTTTGACTGGACTGCTTCTATATTTCTATATTTCTTTATTTTATATTACTTCTCCAGAGGAAGTGAGCGTCTTGCCCTCGTCTCAAGACGTCGGCACTGAGGCCACCATGTCCTCCGAAGACCTTCCTCTGATTTTCGAGCCGTTGGAGGCCGGAGCATCATCCGAACCGTCTGTCGCCATGACGCCAGCGGCCGTAACCGCGGGAGACGCAGAGCTGGAGCGGATGGTGTCCATGGATACGGATCGCACTTCCTCTGATGTCCGTCTCTCAGGAACGCTGGAGACGTCTGGAGTGAGAGAGCCAATCACAGAGTCCCATCCGGCAGAGGAGCATTATGGGACGACACAACGTGAGAATATATAACAGCAGTGATGATGCAGCTTCACTCTGGTTCTCTACGCTATTTTGATGCTTTGGATTATTGCAGAAAAGGAGCTCTGTGAGCCACAAAAGTGTATGGTTCTTCACAAATTATAGGAATAGTTCAATAAAAATGAAAATGTGCTCACCCTCAGGTCATCTAAAATGTAGATCAGATTTGTAGAAATGTAGCATTGCATCAGTGTCTCACTGCAAGTGAATGGGTGCCGTCAGAATGAGAATCCAAACAGCTGATAAAAACATCACAATAATCCACAAGTAATCCACAGCACTCCAGTCCATCAGTTAACATCTGGAGAAGACAAAAGCCGAAACACATCCAGCATTAAGACGCTTTTAATGTCTAAAATACGAGTCCATAATCCATAATAACTCTTCCTCCAGTGAAAAAGTGCATCTCCTGTTGTCTCTCACATCAAAATCCAGCCACATATTTGTTTAGAGCTGTTTAAACGCTGCTTGATCTGTGCAGATTTCTCTCCTGATTCACACCAGAACACTTTTTCACTGGAGGAAGCGTTATTATGGACTATGGACTCAATGTATTTGAGTTAAAAGCATGTTAATGCTGGATTAGTTTCAGCTTTTGTCTTCTCCAGCTTCCTCCAGTGAAAAAGTGTTCTGGTGTGAATCAGGAGAGAAATCTGCACAGATCAAGCAGTGTTTAAACAGCTCTAAACTAATATGTGGCTGGATTATTTCTCTCCTGATTCACACCAGAACACTTTTTCACTGGAGGAAGCGTTATTATGGACTATGGACTCTATGTATTTGAGTTAAAAGCATGTTAATGCTGGGTTTGTCTCAGCTTTTGTCTTCTCCAGATGTTAACTGATGGACTGGAGTGCTGTGGATTACTTGTGGATTATTGTGATGTTTTTATCAGCTGTTTGGACTCTCATTCTGACGGCACCCATTCACTGCAGAGCATCCATTGCTGAGACACTGATGCAATGCTACATTTCTACAAACCTGATGAAGAAACAAACTCATAACCCTAACCCTAAACTCATTCTGACGGCACCCATTCACTGACACTTGTTACCATTCAAAAGAATCCCACTGACTTCAGGCTGATGGAACTGAAAGTGCTAAAATGCTTGTGTTTGGGTTTTGGCTTACTAATACGTCATGCCTTTACACACACGACATGTGCTGTTTAAAAACATCAACTTTAACCTCTGATATAGAATGTTTATATTCTGTGAACGATTTAAAAGTCGTGCAGTTATACAAGCGTTCTGATTGGTCCAGCAGGTGATGACATCACACAGGCTCTGGTGGTCTCTGAGGCCGTTCACTTACCAGCGTCAAAACCAAAGACAGACACGGACGATCCCAAAATTAAAGGTTTGTAAAAGCAAGTGTTCAAGGCGAGACACTGCAGGTGAATAGGGTAAAAAAAATTAACTAATAGTTATCTCCTTACTTACCCAGTTGACTGAATTGCAAACATTATTTTTTTTGTATTACAAGTTTTCTAAAATGTTAGGTTTAAATATGCAAATGATGCACTATTTAATTAAATATGCGCTAATTTGCATACATTTCTAGTACAAAAATCTAAACACTGGATGAAGTCAGTTTCAAAACTCGTTTAATTTTTTTTGACATATTAGAGTCAAATGTTTTCACAGAGTGATCTCATTTTTGTCTCTCCATAATTCAGAAAATGCTTAGAACAGACAATTTTGGGGGAATAAAGTGTTGTATATAATCAGGCAAATTATATATGAACAAAACCCGCTGTAAAAACCTTCAGGATACGGACAGGAATGAAAATGAAAAGGTGTGTGTAAGTGCTACAGAAGTGGAGATTTATGGCTCGGTGTAAATATGTATTGTAATTGAAATCTATTGACACAACACTGCACAAAATAATTCTCTTACTTAGTATGTTTGTCTTGTTTTCTAGTATAAATTTCTAAACATTCTTGAATCAAGATGCATTTACTGTACAAGTGAAATGATTTAAGATATTAAGTCTTGTTTTTTAAAAAAAAACAAA